CTGATACTATAACTAGTCTCTGGAAGAAAAAAAAAATCAGATGCTGCTCATGTGATAACTGGCTTATGGGACTGCTATAAGTCCTGAAAGGCGATATTATGTTTCTGCTGCACATGATAAAATTTACACAGTTTGTTGTAATTAATTATGTAGGTATGTAGAACTTCTAACTGCTTTCAGTGCAGTTATTGGTTCTGCAGATGTAAGTACATGTGGGCAAAGAACAACAGCATAGAGAGCTAAGAGGAAAATCTTATTGACTGCTGCTGGATGTATTGCTTTATGTGGAAAAACGGATCAGACTCTTCTAAAAATGAACAGCCATAATCAATAAATTATGAAGAGACCATGAATGAATGCCTGAGATTTGACCTTTTACATATGTCCTACAATTACTTTGAGAATATGTTCGCTGGCCACTCTGATGATCCTAAAAAACATATTACCTTTTTGGGTAATAAGTTTACTATTAAACAGAATAAAGATTCTGTTTAATATGTCAGTGTTAGTTAAAGTGTGGAGCACCACAACATAACCTACAACTACAAGAGAAACATTACATTAACTCAGTCCTTAGTTTTACAGAGACCAAACCTAATGTGAACGTGTCACAGCCTGTGTGTCCACATTAATGGTCTCATTCTGGTCTCATTCAGTCACTATATTGGGATCAGTCAACACAAGACTGTAAGAAGATAAAGGGATGGTTCTGTGATGGATTTGGCCAAAAGACCCAGCAAATCACTGGCTGTGGCCCAAACACCATCCCATTTGCATTCCTCAAGGGCAAGCTGTCCAATATTATCTCTTCTCACTCCAGCAGAGGCCTCAGAAGCCACAAAGGACTTGCTGTGTAGGCTTCTTCCCACATCACACACACTGGAGAGCAAAGGCTGACTTCAGAAGTGTCTAATTATGCAGACCTGTCAGCAAGAGATGCACCTGCAGGCACAGGTGTTTATGTCCTTGCATGCATGCGAGGTGATCTTTGCTAAAGGCATCTTCACAGGCCCTCCCAGTAGTACACATTTTTAATGACATAGCAAGTAGTTCAGAGGCAATTTTACCAAAATTTTGAAATTAGGGCGCATAGTCACATTTTTCATTTTATAAACTACAAGCAGAAGAGCGGAGCCTTGCCAGCACATGCACACAGAGATCCAAAAGATAGCTTAGTTTGCATAAATTTACAATTTAACCCGCTCCCTTGACTGATGCTGAATGTAGTGCTGGTGTGAAATCCCACATCTGGGTGTGTGGGGGATCCAGGTTCAGCTGCTGCGGTGGGAGGAGACGGGGACGACGGTGTAACATTCTGCATGGAGGATTAGGCTTGTCTGAGGGAAGATAAGACTCTGCAGGATCAATGCTGTGTTAAATGTATCTGCCAGAGCCAGAAGAGGAGCAACAGCAATGCACAGACACTGCCAACATTCCTGGGGATCAGAAACCGCTACAGACTTCCAGCTTTTCCATAAGATGCAAGGAAAAGTTTGTACGAGAAGCTCAGTGTATTCTTAGAAAGAAAAAAAAAACATCAAAAGCATGATGGACCTGTATTTTGGGTTTATTTGAAATGATTCAGAACAATGTCTTTACCTGGAAGGAAATGTTCTCAGGAATTCAAATAATCAAATGTAATTAAACAAGATTTTTTTCCTCTTTTTTAAACTTTTCTACTAAAATTATAAAGGAATAGTGATTATTGCTGTCATTTTAACAGACAGCAATAGTAAATACTGACTTTGACACAAGGATTTATTACTTGTGTTGTTATTCCTAGAAAATACGCAACGAGAAGATATATTCACTTTTGTCTCTTATCAGCAAACTATTTTTATACGTTTCCTGCAATTGAGCATGGAAAACAGGGCTTGTTATTATCTGCAAAGTAAGTATTTCCTTTACTTTGTGCAACCTTTTTATTAATTTTCAAAGTTTTAATTTTAAGGTAAAAGTAGAAATGCATAAAATCCTTTCTCCAGTCATGATTTGCTGCATTGATAACAGCACAACAAAGTGGCAAATTCAATGTTCTGCTGTGCTACTGTTTATGCTGTCAGTCAGATGGTCCTCGGAAAACATAAAAAAAGTTTGGTAACCGGTGATACAACCTGGCATTACTACCAAAAAAACCCACGATATATAATATAGCTTACTGTCCCTAAAAAAGAAAAAAAAAAATCTTTTTTATCATTAAGAAGATGACATAACTGACTGAGTTGCTGAGTGGAAACGGTTCATGAAACTACAGGGACATCTAGTGGTCGGAATCAGAAGACCTGTAACATTTTTTGTCCAGCTTTTCTAAAATCCATGTTGTCAAACAAACACTCAGTTCATCACAGGGAACCAGTATTGCTAATCTGCAACCGGCTTCAGCCTCTCACACGCTGCAGCTGATGCGCGGGTTTGGAGGGCATTGTGTCTGTATAAAATGACAAGGTTCCTCTCCACACCTGAGCCAGCACGCAGTTCATAACCCATCTGTTTTCACCAGGTTTCTAATTTGGAAAGTATCGACTGCCAGTCAGTAAACCACAAGCTTCCGTGTCTCGCAGCTATGAGAAATCCTTGTCTAATCCACTATCACAGCAGTCCCTTTGAGTGGTGTGGACACTAAGGTGAGTGTGTCCTGCAGCTCCGTGTTCTCACAGTGGACATAATGAACACCACTGTTTCCTCGTGGTTTTATGTCGCTCTTCTGCAGAGTTGCCGCTGCGTTGCAGGACGCGTTTGATCTCCGGCTAGTCGCGGCAGTTGGGAAGCAAAATATTAAAAGGTCAAGGATTGCCAGAGACACAGGACTGAGAGGAGGAGTGTGGTGAAGAAAGGTGAGAGATTGACAGAGAGGATGAATGGACAAAAAGGTCAAAATCAGCCTGTGGATTTATTTTTTTTCCTTTACACTACGATCGTGTGGGAGGTTGCATCATGTGCCGATGTTGCACCCTTTTCCTAAAGCTGCTACGATTTCAATAAGTAATGCATAGAGATTTTTTATGAGAATGAAGAAACCAGGATGAAATTTAAATACAGTCTTTATTGGGTCATGAACATTTTCTAAAGTTATCTAATAAACAGCAACACAGGAATTTACAATTCAATGACAAATTATTCACTTTAACAATAACAATTTCAAAGTTTTTTTTTTTTTTTGCCACTTTAGACAGTTTTTACTAGCTTTAATCTCTAAAATCCTCAAAATTAAACAATTCATTATGCGGGGAGAAATTAAATGAAATTGTTGTAATTTGTGCATGTCTAAAACATGCTTTTTTTTTTAAACTTCTTTATGCTGGTCAGAAAAACACAACTAGCTTACTGTGACTGAATACTAACAAATTATTATTATTATTCCAAAGATAGGACCCTGAATTTAAAACGACCTCCCTTAACACTGTCTTTATAAAGATATAAATGACTATGTCATGACCCTAATCTAAATTTTAATGTTTGTTTATACTCACAAAATGAGGTTGCATTGTTTTTTTGTAAACATTTGTTGGTAATAAATTAAAGTTTTTGAGGAAGAATGCCAATCAAACACTGTTAGCTATTCAACTATTACCTTCATAAGCCGTGTTTGTCTTCTAGGGGGTAACTAAATGCCACATTTTATTTGAAGGGGGTTGAATAAGACTGACATGACACTGTCATAAACATGAATAAGCCTTCATGAATATTTATGACTGTTGTCATAAAGCGTCATTCGGTAAATTATGACACTTTTAATACAAAGTTGACATTATTCAAAATGTCTTTGTTATGACAACTTGACATTAACCAGGAAATCATTACTGTTTAAATTTTACCTTTAATAACATAAAGTTACCTAATTTTTAAAGTGCAATCAGTAATACTTTTATAACAAATTTATATCAGTAATGATTTTTATTATTTTTTTCTGAGCGCTTTATCCTCACAACTTCACAGGGTTACAGCAAAGCACCACACAAGCAGCTACTAAAAAGTTACGTCACTGTCGGTGTGAGGATTTAGGTGCTAAGTACCTGCTACACTTTCTTTACTACAACTTAGTGACTGTTTTGAAATTGTGATAAAAGAGCAATTTTATATGCATCAACAAACCCCGAAAGCCTAAATGGGCAAAAGTTCTTATTTGTTATTAGCTGACACTCCTGCAGAAGACTTTGAAAATCCCTAAAATAAAGTCGTGTTCAAAATGTGGCCATTTAATTTTTTTTTTTTTTGGCGGGGGGGGGGGGGAATAAATGTAGGTTTACTTTCGGAAAGCTTTTAATGTTTTAGAGTGGAACATTTGTAGGGAAAAAGTGTTACATGAAATAATCCTCACCAAGCACAAAAGTTCTTACATTGAGGGTGAAATTAATATGACAACTGAAATCGCAAAATTGTGACATTTAATGAACTTTTCTAGCGTTTTACGGCGTCATGAACTTTGTTTTGATGGGCTTTCCTAAAACAATCTACACAGGTAGGTTTGGGCTTAAACAAAGGGAAAAATGTAGCATAGCACAACGTATTATAGACCATCATGGACACTTGGAACTACAGTGAAATTTTGACTAAAAACATCTTGAAATCAAAATTGATGAAAGCTCTTTATTTCATAATGATCCAAAATCACACACTAAAATAAAGGCGGAAATGGTTCAGCGGACAAAATGCTGTCATGAGCATCTCAGACCTAAATCTGGCGAAAACCTGTGTGCAGATTACACCATGAGACTTTGGATAATTTGGACAGATTCTGCACAGAGAAATTGCCCAAGATTACTCTCTCTGTACTCCAACCTTGATAAATGTTTCAGTAGAAAACCAGGTACTGTTCTAGTGGTGCTAGTAGCATTTTTCTTTTCAGTGTGAGATTATGTGGCTGCAGGAAGAGATTTATTTTAAGGATTTTAACACTTCTTTACTAAAAGTACCAGCAAATTTGCCCATTTGTGCATTATTATTATTATTATTATTATTATTATTATTATTATTATTATTATTATTATTATTATTATTTTAATCCATAATCCCTTTAATAAAGTAAACATATGTATTGAGACATTTCAAACTAAGCTAGGATTAATCTAATCAATATTTACTGAGCCATTTCTTGACTTGCTATAGCAACACTGAGAGTCGGACGTGGATATTTTGTGCTTTTTGAAGCCTGTTTAATATTCTTTATTTTTGCATAATCATGTAATGGGAATTTCTTTTTCACAAGGTAGAGTGGTTGGAGTCCAGGTCAAAGTGTGACCCTCATCCTTTTTGCAGCAGCATTAAGGTCCTAGTCTTCCAGCTACACTCACAGAGCTTTGGGAGCTCAAGCTTAATTCTGCTTGTCAGGCCAGTGAGAGCTGCTTGCAAAAGGTAGGACTTTTCCTTTCCCCTCAAGTGCAATTATACCACTGCACGTGTCATTATCCTCACTTCTCTTCACCTTGAGGGAGAAAGCGTCAAACTGTGGAACAGATTCATATTTAAAACATCAACGAAGGCCTTCGCAGATTTAAAGCTTTCACATCCCGGGCGTCGTGATGCCTGAAGTCGTTTTCTGGTGGATTCTGAACACCACATGTGCGAATCCAAACCAATTAGCCTGGCTTTCCTTTTAAAATGTTTCTGAAACGCATGCACTCCTGAAACGAGGACGCGGTACTTTTTGCCTCCATCAGGATAAAAATGTGAAGGACAAAAAGAGAGAAAGTGGAGGACAGTCCTAGAAATGAATTCCCTGAACTCTTTAGATTCATCTGCTCATTAATTTGTTCAATTCTGAACAAAATAAAATATTCTTGAAATGATCTGAACTCACTGGGTCACTTTATATAACTTGGCAAGTATTTCATCAAGTTTTTTTTACTAATTAGCTGAGAGTCAGGTTAGATATTCTTTATATTAAAGCTTTGAACAAACATAAAACAGCTTTCAGTTAACCTGTTGCTCTTGTGCAAACAGGAAAAAAGAAAGAGGTAGGTGACTAAGTTTTCATGACACTGAAGTCTCTTGTCATTGGTTTCTTCGGTGACCTTTCGTGTTAATGCAAGGTGATGAAAAGTTAAATGAAATCACGCAGTGACTTGTTTGCGAGGAAATGTTAGACCTTGTTGCTGCAGACCTCATACTGGCCCACAAGCTTAAAATTTCAGACTACCTAAAATTGCATTCTTCCAATTAACGTCTTATTATGTTTACATTAAGAAGCGTCAAAGAATAAATAATCCAGCACTTTCCACAATTAATGGCACCCCTGAGATTTGCAACAACCCCAAACTAAAATAAAATAAAATAAAATTTGCTAGCCTACCTTTTAATAACATGAAATGTGGCACAATTTTTTGCACTAAGAACAATGCCTATGAAAAGTAAGATTTCATAAAATAATTGGCCACGGGGGAGCTATTCGCAAATTTACAAGAAAAAAAAAAAACTTGGATAAAATATTTAAAGAAAATATTTCCAGACATTACAGTCTCCAAATCTTTAAAAAAAAATAAAAAGCTCTGAAGTTTTCAACATCAGAGAATATCTAAGTATTTTCTTGTAAACATGTGAAATTGATCTCACAAAGATCTTTGTAGAAACCTACTCCTCCGTGGCATCACTTTCCCCCTTTTATTTGTAATTTTTACTCCACCGTAAAAAAATATATGTACTTCAATCATTTTTGCGATTTATACTTAATGCTTTAAGGTGGATTTGCATGTCAAGCAACATCTTGTTTTCCTATGGTATAACACAGGATGTGACATACAGATTTGCTTCTTCTTACCACAGTTTGCAGGGAGAAAAACAAGAGAGTCGGCATGCAGGTTGAACAGATGTGTGGTGATTTTAGTCGTAGAGGAAACGGATAACTTGGTCTAAACTTGCCCATATCTTTAGAAAGAGTGATAATTAAACAAATCAAACCCCCTACAGATTAACACATCCTTTCCAGGGGTGCCACTAATCATGATGGATGCTGTAGCAGGTGAACACACTAAATAAGCTTCCATTCAACTGAACTCCACATTACCTGTGAAGAACCCCCACGAAAACACCTCTGTAACCAATAAGCATATCTGAGGTATAGATTTAGACTTAGAGCTATATGTCGGCTACTTCCACAAAATATTCTTTTTAAATGTTAAATCTATCATATCAAATACTATACAACAAACATAACAGTTACTTCATTACAAAAAATATAGACTAGTAACATTCAGTATCAACTATCCATTGACTTCTAAAATATAGTTAAACTGAGACAGCATAGAGTTGCACAGTGACCGGATGTTCGTCTTCCAGTAAGAAAACATCCTCGTGTTCTTTTCATTTTGGTATAATTACCGAGCCAACAATACATCGGAAAAGAAAGGGTAAATATTGTAAACATTGTTACAAGTACAAAAGCACGTGTCGCAAGATGTGATCAGAAAAACATGAATACAACCAATACTAACAGCTCTTAGTCCTCCTCCATCGACTTCTCGATCTCCTTCAGCCTGCGGACGAACTCCTGAGCCTCCCTGTCTCCGGTGCGAGCATCCAGCATCCTCATGATTGGCTTTTCTGAGGGGTCAAAGAGAAAACGTACCTCTTATATTCTTAGAATTACCTCAGAGGGCAAACAGGCTGAAACATCCTCGACTACAGTATTGGTACCACTGGGTTTGCTGCGGGACAAGTGCAGAATGACGGGCTGGACATTCTTTCCGGCGGCCGACGCGTTTGGTCTCCCCGGCCAGCAGAAGTCGCTGAGCGGAGCGACGGCTTCTCCAGCAAAGTCGTTGGTAGACAGCCAGTCGTAGTCCATCACAGTGAAGGTCAAACAGGCGTACCTGTGCCTGTACTGTTCAGGACTGACATGACTGGAAGACAACAGAGTCAAAAAAAGAACCTATCAAATGAGGAACATGCACACGCACACGTCGCTTTATCCATATTTCGCCACACGACTACAAGTCTGCTTTATTGGAGTGATGGACCAACACAGGTCAGAGAAAAATTGAGAAGTGTAAGGAAAATTATGGCTTTCAAATAAAAAATAAAGAAAAAAAGTGGTGTGAATAAATGTATTCCCCCGCCCCTCCAACTGTTACTCTGATTCATCTAAAAACAATTTGTGCGACCAAATGTCTTGTTTGTCAGATGTTACCTAATTAGTAAACAGAGCCCATCTGTGGGTAATTTAACCTCGTTGTAACTCTACAGACCCATTCGATAAGTTAGAGTATTACTGAAAAGCCCATTTATTTCAGGAACTTTATCACTAAGTGAAACACAGTGTATAGATTAATTATTTCTGTTAATTGTAATGACTTTCTATTTACAGCCAATGAGAGCATGACATTTAAGATTAGACTATTAGATCAGACCCTCAAAAAAAAAAATGTTTGCTGGTGTTGGTGTCTTCCTGGTTTTCCCTGCCCCTTTTGTTTCCTTCCCGTCTGTCTCCCAATAATGTTGTTTGTTTTCTGTCCAATCAATCACCTGAACCTGGTATGGCCTGAAGTGCTGTCACTAATGTAATAACGTTAAGGTGCTAGTGGTGAAATGTCTTTCCCCATTTTGTAGAGCAAATCTGCCACTGTTACTGTAAAAAGGCGTTCTGGTCAGATGGCATCAAAATCTCAACTTTAGAAACCGTTTGTTTAGGTAAAAGCTTATTTATTCGTTACGATGGCACAAAGTCCAGACCTGAATATGACTGAGAATCTGTGGCAGGATTTGAAAGCTGACCCTCAAAGACACTGTCCACCCAATTGGACTCAGTGAAAGCTGTAGCCAAGGACCAGCATGCGACAAATCCCGAAACACTTGAAGCTGAACTTACACAGGGAGAACGTATTGACTGAGATGAGGTGAATACAAATGCGCAACTTACGCTTCAGGTTTTTATTTATACAAAAAAAAGGAAGAGAAATTATGTATTATTTCCTTTTACTTCATGCTGTAACTATGCATCAGTTTGTGTTGGATTGCTAAATAAAAGACAGATAAAATAGATTGAAACCCTGCCAGCATGCCTAGGTGGGCCCCATGTGGGGAAAGGAGGGCAGACCAGATGGGTCCCATATGGGTTTGTACGCGGGTTCCACGGTGGCCCCACATGGGTTTGCCCATGAAGGGCCACAGCCTACATGGGCCCTTCATGGGCAAACCCATATGGGACCAATATGTCTGTCCTCCTTTTCCCCATATGGGGCCCACCTAGGCATGCTGGCAGGGAGCTAGTGATAATATCATATATGCAGAGAGGAAACTAAGGCATTTCACTCACAAATAAAACAGTTCATCGAACACTGGATGCAGCGTCTTTAGCTTCACTTGAGTGCGTTGACTCTTGGCTGCAGGAAAGAGGTGATGAGGACAGAGCTCCACAATCACAAATGGATCACTAAGACCTGAAAGAGATGACAAAAGTATTACAAGATGTTCAACAAAGCCTTATGTCTATCATAAAACATTTGCTTTTACTTTTACCATTGGCATCCAATGCGATAATGTCCGCAGCGTGCAGAATCTCCACTGTGAGTCTCTGCTCTGGAGGGTCGTAGTAGCATTTCACACTGATTCGACCGTAAGGCGTATGCTTGAGTGTTTTCTGCAGCATGTTACATCACAAGCAAAGTCAGAACACATTTATTAAGCGTTTATCTCAGCAGTGATACATCCACTGACAAGAAGAATCATTTTTGTTGTATTCAGTGGCCTACAAAAATATTCAACATTTCTCACAGTATCTCGCAATATTTGATTGCATGTTGCTTTTAGGGGCTTGAGGAAAGGCCAGACTTTCAATCAGGGGTGAAGCAATAGACCTCAGGGTATTCAATCAATATCTCCCCATCCACTTAAATGAAATTGTCTGTCCGGTAACTTAAAACACACCTGGAGGGAAATCTTCTCCAGGTAGTACTGCTCGATCAGATCAAAGGAGGAACATTTGTTTAGCCTGAGCTCTTCATCCAAGACCTAAACAATGAAGGTGATCAGTTAGGGAAACATATAAAGGAGACAAATTTAATTTACCACGCACATGAAACTCGACTGGCAGAATTGCACGGCCGCATACCTTATAGTCTCCGCTTTTCATGTCTTCCAAGGCCAGACCGTCACCCTTTACGTGGAAGAACTGCAACAGGGTCTAAAACATTGAAATGACGACAAAAATAGAACAAGCGTGCTATGAGTCATCACACAAACCCCTCCGATATGAATAGGCTAAAGTCTCAGCTCCGAGAAGATGGCCGTTGTTGTTTCACACTAACATTACGAAACCTTGGGCAGGCAAACGTGATGTTTGTGGAGGAAGGTGTGGAGGGACGGTGCGAGCGGCTACTGCATCCTAACTTAGCCCACGTCTGTGGCAGACCTTAGCCTCTCGTGGAAAAATGTGACGTCCCCTGCCAGCTCGTTGACTTTGTTGAATAAACAACAGTTTCCACATTGTCATTCATAAGGGAGCTCATGTTGCCACATAGCTGTTGTCTGAAGACTTCATGAATATCTGACATATGCTAACTAGTGCATTGCAGCCAACATCCAGAGACGGATCGCTAAAGAGGGGCAGGAGCAAACATTTACTAATGGCAAAGAAAGTTAAGCAGAATCTATGATGCTGACCTCAACTGTGTACTGGAAGCGGTTGTAGAACTCCACCTGAACACCCCTGTTTTCTGTGACCGCGTCCAGGATCATTCGCAGGAGCAGCTCCCACATGCTCTGCAGGACTCTGCAACAAGCACAAGCAATGCTCTCAAAAATAACACCCACAGGCCAGAAAAAAAAAAACATGTAAAATCATGTTGTCAATCTCATGCTTCTGGGAAAAAACAACAACATATTAAACGGTGAACTAAAATAATCACTTCTTGTCAAAAGCTGCTTGGTTGTTTTAGCCAAATCCCGATTATTACCCAGTTGTTTAACACAGAGCCAAGGCCTTCCCTGAAAAAGATGCCATCTTTGGTAGCAGCCAGTGTCACTCCAAAATGAGTAAATATTTTTCAGCCTTAGTGGTTCTTCCATATAAGCAAAAGTTCCTAACACCATGTGCATTAATGTACCCTCATGCAGTCATGCATGCTGGCATGGCAGAGTTCTCGAATCAAAAGCAGATGGTGTCTCCTCTTTTAAAGCTGGAGGAAGTGCTGTCCATCATTTCCCAGATAATCGACTTGGAAAGGTTAGAGGTTTACAGGACAGATTTCATATGTAGCTCCTGCCTGCCAGCTTTGCTCAAGGTTTTAATCAGCCAAACATGTTGGCTGATTTTTACATGGAACATGCAGGAGATCTATCGGTTTACTTCTGGCTAAATTGTCCAATCAGATCAGATCAGATCAGATCAGATTGTATTTGTAGTACACATATGAAAATAATTCTAGTGATAAATATAGCCATTAAATGATATGAAGTATTGTCACTTAACAATGTGGTGGATTATAATTATGCAAAACACGTATTTCACCTATTTCTATGTAGTTAAAATACTCAATGTGGCAAGTAACGGTGTTCCTACCCTGGGACTGCTCCACATTTTGTCATAGCTGCTACCGTCCACATTTTGCTGCAATTTCATCTTCAAGATTTTAAAGGCACAGTGCTGGAAAGTATTCGCAGTGCTTCACTTTTTCCACATTTTGTGATGTTACAGTCTCATTCCAACTTGTATTGAATGAATCTCTCTTTGGAAAATTCCACACACAAATACTCCATTTTGACAAGGAAGAAAAAATATTTTGCAAACGTATTTTTACTGTCTTCACTTTTTCACCTGGTATGATTTTCCTTAACAAGGTTTGCCGTCAGGATGACCATCGTGTCTTGAAGGTACTTCATGAGGGGGGAAACGGCCTGGGAGAAATCCACATGTCACAAATACACGGCGGGTGACAAAACTGACACAGGAATGAAAATGTCAGCTGGTTGTTGCTACATACGTCGTCGTTGTTGATGGAGTCTGGAGACAAGCTGATGTGCTGAATGTACCGTCGCAGTTCAGGCAGCATCTGCACACATAATGCTTAGTTATAGAAGAGCAAGCTGGTGTTTCAATGAATGACCATTCTACTGATCAACAAATCTATGATAGCCTGAGTATGGTGCATGTTTGACCCCCAAAAAACAGCCAAATATATGTATATATAGACTTTATATATTTTTGCTTTCTTTCTGTATTCTTCAGTATAGTGATAAACATTTATCTGAGTTGAAAAACTATGAAGACACACTAATTTGGAAATCCTGTGGGGATATTTTTATAATTATTATTTAGGTCTTAGCTATGCTACTCTGAAAATTTTAATACTGATATTCTATCATTAAAAAAAAAATAGACAAAATGCCAAAAATAATAAGAAATATTTTAGTCAGTAGGTGGTGATAATATCAAAATAGTTACCTACCTATATAGAAAAAAGCTAATTTAAGAGCAGAGCTAGTAATTATAACTAAACGGGTATGTTTTATTGTTACTTTTCAAATAAACTGAAGTTCAATATTTGCACAGTCTGGACAAACTAATCTGTGGCACAAAACAAAAATAATAATTTGCCTGTGCTGGTGGATGCTGCAGAAAACATTTTGTTTTGCAATTCATCTGACAGTTTTAATTATCTCCGAAGATTTAACGTGTGAATATCCCATCAGCACGGATGTAGCCTGAGCTGACGTTAACGTTTTCACCTTGTCGGTGAGCACCGTGATTAGGCGCTTGGCTTCTCTTTGCAGGTCCAGGTCCATGTTGAACAGCTGCCCGTTGAGGGCTTTGTACACCTGCTCTTTCCCCTCCGCGCCACACGACTCCTCCATGGCCCGCTCCACGCCGGGCCAGTCCAGGTCTCGAGGCAGGTGAGCCAGGAAAGCACGCACGTGCTCCACGTTGTTCAGGCCGATGCAGAGCTAGCCGAAAGCCAAGAGGAGCAAAAGGGGAGAAAAAGAGGGGTGGTGGAGGAGATAAAAAAAAGAAGGAAAAGAAGCAGAGCTACCAAGAAGTAGAAAGATGGCTTATGAGTATAAACAATTCATGACAGCAAAGACGCATCTGCTTTATTTCTGTGTCGACATTTGTGCTCTCCTCCTGCTGTGCTTTTGTGTTTACAAGCAGTAACTCTCCGGTCGTTTTGTACATCATCGTGTGCCCGCCCTCTGCTCTGTCTTGCTACGGGCGGTACCTGCACTGTGAAATTCTTGTGGTCTCGGGCCAGCTGGTTCCTCTCAATCTTGCGCGTCATCATCTCCGAGTAGCAAACAGCTTCACTGCAGAAGTTCTGCGGGGAGATGGAGGTAGGGCCATTTATACGACTTCATAACTTCGTAGGGAGCGCATGTGATACAGATGCTACATTTGTGGTGTGGAAAGAAAAATATGGACGGTGGTCTATTTTTTTCTTTTCTTTTTTTCTTTACAAATGACCTGCCACAGTGACTAATTTGTGGAAACAACTTTGGCTGCAGTTGTATCCACAAATGTTTTGGAGTTTTCATATCAGTGCCAAGTCTGCCCCAGCTGGTTTGCTTTAAGGATTGTTCTTGTATTTACAGTTGAAACCAGATATTTACATACACAGAATAGAAAGACACATATGTGTGTTTTTTTTTTCTCACTGCCCGAAGTTCTGATTTTTAGGTTAGATAAAACCTCTTTTTTTTTTTTTTTTTTTTTTTTGGGTTATTTAGAATTAAAAAAATTTTTTTTATTTGCTAAATTCC